CACATTTGCAAATGTATAAAATAGATTAAGTTTCACTTTTATTCTTTAAAGATGAACAGGAAGCTGCACATTTTCTGCAGCAGGAGTCCTTGCTAGAAAGCTTTCCTTGGTTCAATAGTCTTCTATTGTTATGAATAGAACATCAATATAATTAACATAAAGATCCTTTAGAGACCATTTTAAAATGAAATCACATTTAATTGCAGGTAATTCTTTTATTCCCCCTAGATAATGCTAACTTTCCAACTAAATATCTGAAATATATCAAATCTCTGGAAACTAAACCTTTCTAAAATGAAATGGTATAGTCCATCAACCCCTAAAAGTACAGAATTATTTCCATTAATTGGCCAAAACAAAGAGAAAAAGAAAAGTAAATCTAAAGGGCCAAAGTACTCATAAAACAAAACAAAACACAAATTTGAAAATGAGTTCTGGATTTCTTGAGTTTCTAAGCGGAATGCTGTGTGTTTCTTGGAAATAGCAATTAGCTAAAAGAAACTCCTAAGTCAATATTAAGTTTTTATTTCTAGTATTTTGCTGGTTGCCTAAGTAATTTATGCTAATCCTAAAGTCCTCTGTTTCCCAAACCCTTGGTGTTAAGAAGATACAATAAGTGGGCACAGAATCTACACATGACAGGTAATCAGCACAATCCATTATGAACTGAATTATGTCTTCCCAAATCCATATATTGAAGCCCTAACCTCCCATGTGATGGTATTTGGAGATGGGGCCTTTGGGAGATAATTAGGTTAGGATGAAGTTATAAGAGTGGGATCCCTAAGATAGGATTAATGCTCTTATAAAAAGAGATACAACAGAGCTCGCTGTCACACAGTGAGAATATGGCTTTCTGCAAGCCAGGAAGAGAGCTCTCACCAGAACCTGACCATGCTGGCACCCTGATCTTGGTCATCCTAACCTCCTAAACTGTGAGAAATAAATCTCTGTTGTTGAAGCTAGACAGACTATGGTATTTTGTTATGGACACCCATGTGGTACTTTGTTATGGCTGATTAAAACACAAATGTATTGAATGAAGCAAGGAATGGCCATTGATTTGACAATTGTCTAAGCTCCAAATGCATGATAAATAACTTTGAAATCATAAAGGATGAGTGGAACACAGGCAATAGTTCTTATCTAGAGTTCTAAATTAGCTTTACTTTGTCTACTTAGAAATTTCACCTAAGTTTCATGTTTCCCATGCCTCCAGGCCATCTCAGATGTGGTATGCGCCATGCGTGCTACATGTGACCAGGGCTACAGACAGATTACCTCCTTCTCCCAAAACATTCTGTGACTTTTAGGTGGTCATCGTGTGTAGAAGGCATCCTCTTGTTAATATTTTGGAATTTGACCTTAATTGGCAACATTTCTCAACCTGCCACAAGTACAAGGCAGTTGGCTGACTGCTTTTTCCCCCAGAGATCTTTACATTGCATCTTGTAAATATAGAGAGTTTTATATCTAAGATATATATATTTTAGAATTCAGAATAACAGATATCTTTTGAGTATGTTTTTTAAGCAAAAACTACTCATGTATAGATAATTTAGATTTAAGAGCAGTTATGCTAGTTTAATATAATAACAATGTTTTATTAACCATATTTAGGAAAATAAATGATTGTGTTCTTCCTTGTCTTTGATATCTAACACGAAAGAATTTACAATAAGCATGATATAGCAAGTTTTAACTTTTCCAATCTCTATTCTTTTTGTTCTTACAAAAAATGAAAGAACACACATACAATATTCTATAAAATAAAAATAAATACTTACAGTCTCATCATTTAATACTTCTAATATCACTTAATTTGGGGTAATGCTCCTTTATGAACATTCTACAATGTGAGCTTGAAGAGAAGAGAAAATAAAAAGATCATCATCTATCTCATCTTGTGCTGTGATTAAATACTGCTAGAAACTTTACCTTGACCTGAAAATTCTATCCTCAGGTACAGAAGTCTGTTTTAAGGCTGTTTCCTTGAGTTTTCATTCCCTAATGACACCATTTGTATTTCCTGAAGAGAATGTTATTAAAATATTCCCCAGTATCAAAGGTTATTAATACCCTCCTTTCTTGTCCTCAGTTTGGTCTGAATGCATGAGCATCTATTGTGGGAGACTTTTGAGTGCAGCTATCTAAAGTGTTCATAATTTCTGATGTATAAGAACTTTTTATTAATATCTACTTCAAATGTTATCTTCTTTATCTTCAGGCCATTTTCTTGTCTACATGGAAATTTAGAATAATTTTCTTCCTCTATTACATTTTGTTCCTTGAAGGTATTTTATAATCGGAATGCATGTTCCTCTCTCTTTCTGAGACTTTCTTGTGTCAGGCAAAATATATCAAGACTCTCTAGTCTAATACTCTGGATCTTGTGTTATGTCACTTGTCTCTTATATATTCTTAGCATGGAGATAAGAAATGAGCATTATATTCTAAGTTGGGAACCCAAGGATAAAAACCAGGCTACTTATAGTTTTCCTCATCCTATCCTGTATCTGATTTTTAAAATTGTTTTAATGTATGATTAAATATTTTGCCATTTAGAAATCTAGATGATATAGTAAATATTATAAAAAATAGACCACTAAAATTTTATGTATGTGATTTAAACCTTCCTATAAAAATAACCAAATCACTCTCTCTTTGACTTATACTTGCTGCCATTACAAGTGTTTATTTGTCCTGTTACCTGATACAACAGGGCCCATAAATGTTTTGCAAGTTTTGTGTTACCCAAGAGAGACCTTCCACTTAATTTTTTGCTTTACTGCTTGTGCTTTTATTTACTCTTCTTCAAAGTCTACATCTCTGTTTTTATTAATGCTGTCACACTTTGGTTTGAAATTTTAGCATTTCATCTTTAATACCTCTCCTTGCAAATATATTTAACATTGATCCATAAAATTGAATTAGCATATTGTCCTTAAAGAAGAAAAATAAAACAGGAAAAATAACAGGTTTTAATAGGCTAGTTTAAATTATAGACTTTATAAAAGTATTTACTCGGGCTGGAGTAATTAATTCTCCAATGCTGGAGTAATTAATTCTCCAATTTATTTATTAAGTTTCAGTGGTCTATAAGCTTGCTTTTCATTATCATCTGAAACATTTGATTTTCTAAGAACAAATGTGTCCAAAATATTTTTTAGATGTAGATAATATTATTATAAAATTTTATAGAAAAGCAAAAGATCTAGAATAGTTAAATAATTTTGAAAATGAAATACAAGAATGTGTCTACTCAATATTAAGGCCTATTATATATCTATAGTAATCAAGACAGGGTGTTATTAGAAGAGGGACAGATACATAGATAAATTGAACAATAGAGGACCCAGAAATAGAGCCACACAATACACTCAACTGATTTTTGACAAAGGCACAATTAAACATCCACAAGTGAAAAAAAATGAACCTCAATATAAACCTCATACATTATAGGAAAATTAATTCAAAATGATCATGGATTTAAATGTAAAATGTAAAGCTATACAACTTTTAGAAAAAAATAATTAAACATAGGAGAAAATCTTTGAGACATAGACTTAAGCAAATCTTAGACTTGATTTCAAACACATGATTTATAAAAGAAAAAATCAACAGATTAGACTTCATCAATTAAAAGCTACAAAGTGGGAGGAAATATTTGCATCTAGCAAAAGACTGTTGTCTAGAATATTTAAAGAACTCTCAAAACTCAACAATTATATTAGAATACAAAAAATACAAACAAACAAAAACTCATAGACACAGACAATAGTTTAGTGGTTACCAGAAGGAAAGGGGAGAGAAGGGGAGGTAGATAAGGGAAAAGGGGGTCAAATATATGGTGATAGAAGATTAGACTTTGGGTGGTAAACACACAATGAGATATACAAATGATGCATTATTAAATTGTATACTTGAAACCCATATAATCTTATTACCCAATATCATCTCAATAAATCTAAAAAAAATTTAAAAAGAAAAAAATGATATAAAGACACAAGGAGACATTTCACCCAAGAAGGTATAAAGATAACAAATAAGCACATTAAAAATTGTTCAACACCATTCATCATTAGGAAAATGCAAATTAAAACCCCAATAAGCTATTACCACACACCTATCAGAATGACTAAACTAAAAAAAAAAAAATTGTGGCAACCCTAAATTCTGGTGAGCATGCAGAGAAACTGGATGATATATATCTCTGGGGGGAATGTAAAATGGTACAGCCACTCTGAAAAACAGTAGTAATTTATTTTAAAAATATATAAATACTATACGCCTCAGTGATTATAGTCCTAGGAATTTATATCAGAGAAATGAAAACTTATGCTCACACACACGGCAGCCTTATCTGTAATAGCCCCAAACTAGAAACAGCCCAGATGTCTTTCAATGGATGGTTTAACAAACTACGGAACATCTATACCATGGAATACCACTCAGTAATAAAAAAAGAACAACCTATTGATATATTTAGCAACCCTGGATGAATATCCAAAGAATTATGCTGGGTGAAAAAAGCTAGTTCGGAGGTCTACATACTTCATGCTTTCATTTATATAACATTCTTAAAATGGCAAAATTATAAAAATAGAAAATTGATTACTGGTTGCCAGAAATTAAGGAGGGAGTTGCGTAGGAGGAAAGGAAATGTGGTTATAAACGGGTAACATGAGAGATCTTTTTGGTGTTGGGAATGTACTATAACTTGACTCTATCAATGTCAAAATCTTCATTGTGATATTGCACTAGAGTTTGCAAGATATTATCTTTGAGGGGAAAAGGCACACAGTAAGTCTATTATTTCTTACAACTACCTGTGAATCTACAATTATATCGAAATAAAAGTTTAATTTAAAAAAGTAATTGTGTTTATTAGCAAATTGTAAAGATAAAATTGAATTAAATGAGAATGAGACTAGTGCAAATGTTCATTCCCTTTAATTTTTTATTGTTTTTTGCTGTTGTTGTTTGGTTTTCCTTGTAAGGTCTGAGAGGAGCAATAGCATTTGCCTTAGCTATTCGGGACACAGAATCTCAGCCCAAACAGATGATGTTCACCACCACGTTGCTGCTCGTGTTCTTCACAGTCTGGGTGTTTGGAGGAGGGACGACTCCCATGCTGACTTGGCTTCAGATCAGGTGGGTGGCACTGTTTAACCAAGGAAATCATGATGAGGCATGGCTGCACTGTTCCATTTCTGGTGTTTGTCGAGAGTACAATAGCAGGTCTGTGCACTGACTTTCCCTGGGGTAAAGTTGACCTGCATTCATAAGGTGAAATGATATGACATATCACCAACTTAATTGGCTTTTCCAAGAGTCCTAGAAATCTCAGGGCTATGTCTGTTTACAGTCTGTTCCTATATCCTTCATTCAACACTGTTTATTGTGCATATTGTGATATATTATGGAGTTTACAAAAAAGAGTAAGGCACAGATCTTGTCCTCAAGATACTCAAAATCCAATAGAGAAATATACAGAAAAAACTATAATACGAAGGAAAATGAATTTGTTTTGTTTTTAATTTCTCATAGCACTTAAGATGGAACCAGGGACATGGGAAATGGTTAAACATACTTGATTAGTGAGCCATATACTTAGCCAGAGGGTTGCTATAGATAAGAGTTAGACAGTTTTTCACAGCAGAAGGGAGTCAAGGCTTCAGTCAGGGGCCCTCCAACTAGCAGTGCCTGGAAGATTGCTATAAACCTGAAGTTGCAGGTAGTGCAAAAATAGGTAGATTGTGTCAATTGTGAAAACTGGTAAATCTATTTTTAACTGTTATCTTTATTTATTTCTTTGACCTGCATCCTCATTTTCATATTCCAGAATGTAACAGTACTTCAGGTAAATCATATTTTATTTCTCAAAGCCATACATCTTGATCAATCACACAGTCCCTCTCTGATCCCTGCCCATTCTTGGTAAGGCAAATTCATACCTATATCCGACAGGAAAGGATCCATCTGACTGGAAAAGAACCTCCAAGAAGACTCTTACAGGCAAGGGCTCTGTAATTCCAGCACCAATATAGTGCCTGGCACATAGTAGAATTGAATAAGTAATTGCTATGTGAAAAATGAAATGGATATAACCACAAATGTAAATTGCTTTTGTTAAGTATATACTGATCATTTTCTATGCATTTAACAAAGAGGAAGCAGAAGCAGAAAGTTTAGTATAAGAAAGCTTTTGCCTAAACTGGGCCAAGTGGCTATGTATTAAACCAAATTCAAGGAAAAAAGGACCTTGTGAAGTACTATGCATATTGGCTAAACACATAAAAAGAGCTTTGACCAAAGGTGAATGGAGAGTGTTATGAAATGCTCGCTGAATTATTTTCTAGGCATATAAACGTGACCTGCAATTTATTTCACAGTGGTGGCTACCGGTAGGCTTCTATGGATAAGCACACATATTACATCAAATTCTACAGCACTGGATCCACAGTAAACTATAGTAAGACACTTGTATGTTTGGGTTTCTGGAAAATAAAATTCAGTAAGTAGATTCATCCATGGAAAAATTAGGGCTTTGAAAATAAAAGTTAGAGGATACCAATCCCCATAAGTATCAAATATCCTATAAAGTAGATTAAAATGTTCAGAAAATAGTGATGTCAACATTTTCTTAGATACAAATGTAACATTTTCTACTGTTACCTTTCTTTACTCTGAAGAGATTGTCCCGAAATCAGTAACATGTTTTATCATAAAGTGTTTACCTAATTCTCCTATAGTGATTTCCAAAGTTATCCATGGACTTCAAATAGATGACATAGCTTATATAGTCTCTTAATATCCAGGTCAGCAGAGAGAGAGGATTATATCAATGGGGTTCTAGGCAGGTTAGAACAATTATCCAAGTTATAGGACAGGGCTTAATTAGGAAAGATAGTGTTGTCAACCGTAGCACCCACAGGTGAGAGGCCTAGAGGTCAATTTAGACAGTGTTATTATGCCCAGCTGGGGGCACAACATAGGGTTTCCAGGTCATGCAGCTGCCCAGTGGGAACTAGCTCCTAATACAATTGATTCAATGCCAGACTTGGCCACCAGCCAGGATGGGAGAGGAAAAAAGACAGGGCTTATATTTAGGGAAAGGAACTGACAGGGCTTCAGCCTAACAGGCAAAGTGGAAATCTCAGCTGGGAACTAGAGTATTAATCTGAAATTAGGGAAGTAATCCAATAAGAGAGAACAGAGACCCAGTCATGAGGAAATCAGAGGAAAAAAACTGAAGTTCATAGATACAGGAGTACCCAGGAAGCCAATTCAGGTAGACAGGATACAGGCAAGAAGACCAAGTTAAAACCAATGGCTCTCAAATTGAGTGAGCACCAGAACCACCTGGAGGGCTCATTAACCCCAGAATGCTGGGCCCCTACCCAAGTTTTTGATCTAGTATATCTGTGTCAGAGCCTAAGAATGTGCATTTCTACCACATTCCAGGCAATGCTGATATTGCTGGTTCTGGAACCACACTTTGAGAACTACTGGTTTAGACTCCCTAACTCCAAGTAGAGATCGGGCTAATGTTAAATACCACCAGATTTGATCAGGGTTGCCCAGGGCCAGGCACACCTGAGTCTTCAGCTTAAACTCCTTAGTACCTATACTTAGAGGAAGGCAGGGGCTAACTCAAGGAGGAAGAGCCACTGCTCATTGATTAATGGGAGGGAAATAGAACATAATACAGTTAACATAAAAGAACAAGCTAGTGTGTGTACAAACGAACACACAAGTGTGGCATAAATTTGGCTCAACCATGTCATAGTGATACTATCATATGCTTCATTTCTCTGTCGTGGCTTATAACATTATCAAAGAAATTCTCAATTCCATTATAGCTTTTAAATGATAGTTGTCTCTCTTTTAGGTTATATTTAGCAAGGTTTTACTTGTTTACAGAGCAATGTTTCATTAATCAACTTTCATATCAGACTCTTTCCATAAGATACCAAAATAAAAGTAAATTGGAGTTTTAATAAAATAACACAAATGGGAGAAACCCAAGAGGAAGGAATGCAAATGTAATATTGAATAAACTCAAACATCCTCACTTGGTATGTGATTTATTTATACACTTTACATTGCTTTGGTTTTTTACATTCTGTATTTTTTCTCTTAAATTATTATGTATGCAAACGAGTTGTTTACTAAAAACCTGAGTTGTTTTTTGTCCCTATAAAATTTGCCACTCAGCCACAAACTACCACAGTAGAATGAAGATAAAGTATTTTATATAAGGTAAAAATTAATAGTATCAATAGAAATTGCACTTTGATAGAAATGACTTTAAAACAGCAATGGTGCTGTACTTAGAAAAACTCAGAAAGTTCTTTACATATTAAACAAATTCTTCATTAAATAAAAATTTTCTTAACCATACTCAAACTTCTCATCCTAAAGCATTTTTATTTTCTTTTAAAAAATAATAAAATATTTTTAATGCAGCATTTGAAATAAATTACAGACTTGTTTCTCAAAATTCTAGAGAAAAAGAGAAGACTCCTCTAGTATTATCTTGGAGGTATTTATGTGAAAAACAGTAGAATGGTTTTTTGATTAGGATTCCAGATCTCCTCTCTTCTGTAGAATACTTTAATACTGGTGGTGAGGAAAACCTAACCTTCAGTGTCTAAGAGATCTGCTGTGAGCCAGGAAACAGAAGAGATCAAAGATGTCAAGCTTTGTCCTATAGAGGCCAGTTAACAGGATAATCCACCAAATGATCACATATGCTTGCAAATAAACCTCAAAAACCAAAAGGGCAGAGCTCTCTGGCAGTGGTAATTAATTTGAGGTGGTAACCCATCCTTGGCTTAGGGTAGGGCACCACAGGGAGCTAACAAAACAAATGAGAATGGACCCCATACCACAGTGCAAATCTTTCCTGGGTTCCCACAGATAGGAATGCTGACCATCTCTTGAAGATATCTGAAAAACAATGCAGAAAGCCTTGTACACCAGAGCAAAACAGAACCGGTATTCTGATGGCATTAGAAAGTGCCCTTAGCACAATGATTTTTATAGCTTCCAGATTTTGGTTTCTAACATCTCCAAAAGTATTAGCCAGCTTTTATTGAGTACTAACTCTGTGCTATACATTAGATAATAAAATGCAAGGCATATAATTTTCCTATGACTCAGCTTCTAATCTATAAAATGGGAATGATAATAGTAGCTACTTTCTAGGGTGGGTGAGGCCTGGCAAAGTGGCCAAGGATCACACCACTGTTGGGCTGCAGAGTCAAACTCCAGCCGAGGCAGCCTCAGCCCAAGGCCTGCATGCTCAACTAGTGCATTCTTCTGCCACCCTAAATAAATGAGCTATTCCTGATGCCTGCAATCTACCTTGATTAACAAATCCTCTAGGGAAAAAAGAGATGTATTTTTATAACCAAGACAGCCCTGTTAGAAACAAGCACAGGAAATCTTCATCCATCATGAGTGATTGTATTGACTTGCTAATACAGCACAGAAATTTTTTGGTGCAGCTTTTCTCTTTGACCTAAAACAGTTAAAGGTAAACAAGACCAGCCCTGGTCCAAAGTAGTCAAGCATGGAAGCTTGTCTTCCTCAATAAGAATTTGAAATTATAAAATTTTGTCATCCTAATGCTCTTCTCCCAACCCTATTTAGAATCCTAAGTCAGCCTGCTCTTGGCTTCTTTCACAAATCAAACAAACAAAAAAATTGCACATGCTGGCCTGTGTTCATTGCAGAGTGAATAACTTTTAGTTAGTGCACTATCTCTGTTATAATTATTTTATTTAAATATTTAAACTCTAATTTTGGTTTATGACCCTTCCCCATTATATGCCATCCTAGAATGTTTTCTTTATCATGTATACCCACTAGCTACAAAGTTTTAATAACAGCCATCATAGGAATGTATGCAGAAGTAATATTTTTATTTTTAAATAAAATTTTTAAATTTTTAAATGAAGAGGTAATATTTTAAAATCTTAAACAATAGCAGAGTTAAATATACCTGCTTACAGACTTTATTACTGAGGTGAGGAAATGTCAATTTAATGTAATGTCAATATAATATAATGGAGGAATACATTTAATTAAGTTCCCTCAATATCTAGCTGTGTTCTATGTAATTTCTCTTCTTGTACCCAAAGTCT